CTGGAGTAATGAAGGCGGTCTTTTCCCTGTCGTTGTCATCCACACTAATTTGCCAATACCCTGACCGAAGGTCGATAGAAGAAAAGTACTTGGCATCGTGTAGACAGTCTAGGGTGTCATCGATGCGAGGCGATGGGTACACATCTTTCTTGGTTATTTTGTTCAGCCTACGGTAATCGACGCAAAAACGCCAGGACCCATCTTTCTTTTTAACCAAAACCACAGGAGAGGACCATGGACTAGAAGAGAACTGTATGATGTCTCGCGAAAGCATTTTGTCCACCTCGGTTTGTATTATGCGACGTTCGCTTACCGAAACTCGATAAGGCCTGTGGTGTAAAGATGGGTGGGTCCCGGTGTCAATGCGGTGTTTGGTGGTGGATAATCGGCCAAGAGGATGAGCTGGCAAGTCGAAGATTTCGTGATATCTCGAGATAAGACTATGTAGCTGTTGTTTTTGCGTCGCGTCTAACGCAGAATCAATCATGTTGGTCAGTTGAACGAGGTCAGAGGTCAACGGCGGACTTGAATTTAGAGTTGGTCGGTCGTTTTCGGTAGTAACCGATAGTGTTTCTTCGAACAACGGTGATGTGACGGCTAGAGAAGTGCCTCTGGGTAGTAGTTGCGGGCTATGCCCGAGATTGACCACCCAGAGAGAAGTGGAATCATCATGGATAGAAACAATTGAATGCGCAATACTAAGTTGCTTGGCGAAAAAAATGTCCATGTTTGAAGACACGACGTAGTCGCCATCGGCTGTAGGGCTTTCAGGTGACAGCTTGATGGGGACTGCTTTTAATGGTGGGATGCGGCAAGTTCCCATAGAACATAGTTTGCAAATGACGGGGTCCTGAGTTGCGTTCGAAGCGGAAACATTAAGTTCAATTTCTCTCATTGCACAATCAATAAGGGCGTTGTGGGCGGATAGGAAGTCCCATCCAAGGATCAATGCATGGGGGCGATTCGGAATGACGGTAAAAAGGACGGACGTGGTCTTATTTTTCAGAGCAATACGTGCACTGCACATGCCAAGAGAAGGAATCAGACAACCGTCCACACCACGAAGTGGCGTGGAATCCGGTGGCGTTAAGACCTTGCGTAGCTGACGTCTCAGATCCTCCCTCATAACGGAGATAGCGGCGCCAGTATCGATGAGGGCTGTTGTTCCAATGTTGTCGATTGTAACAAAACTCTGATTATGAGGGGTCAATGAACGTTTGCGAAGAGGATTTCTTACCAATGATTCATGAGCAGCTTCACCTCTCGAAGCTGCATTGCTTAGTTTTCCGATTGAGGGGCGACATGGGCTGGGGAGATGGGGCGGCGGGGGGTGGGGGACAATGATTGGCGGCGACGTGGAGATGGCGAGCGGTTGTATGTAGGACGAGTGGTGAACTGTTCTTCATCTTGAGGGTTGGGGCGGGGAGGTTCATAAAACTGGTGACCAAACGAAGACCGATAGCTGTTCGATGCGAATGTGCGTGGGCGGTTGTTCCACTGGTTGCGGGAGTATCGTGCAATTTGTCCAACGGCGTTGCATTGGAAACATATAGGTCTGTTGTCAGGTGTCCTCCATGCTGCAGGGTCACGCCGGTTTGGTGAAGTGTTGAGGGGAGGGGAGTCATAATCCTACCGTGTGAAAGAATTCCGACTTCCAGGTGCGTATGTTGGAACATGAAGTCGGTTGATTTCCTCTCTTATGACTGCTTGGACGGCAGATACCGGGAGGACCGGTTCTTGCTGTTCAGTAAGCCGGGTGAAAGTATTAACAGGGAACATGGCTTCAAGTTCTCGGCGGATGAGCTTTGCTATGTGGTCCGATTGAAGGCTGGTGTCTTCACATGTGGATGTTGGTGTCGTGTTGGGGAGGCGCACAAAATTTGCGGTGATTCGTCGTTTCTTTGCTTCTTCAAAGCGTCGGCACTCTTTGACAACGTCCTCTATCGATGTGCAGTCTTTGAAGACGAGGAGCTGGAATGCGTCGTCCGCGATACCTTTCAGGACGTTGGGGAGCCTTTCCGAGTCGGGCATGTTGGGGTCCGCTTTCTGGCAAAGGGACAGGATGTCCTGTATGTACGTCATGTACGACTCCGTAGGTGACTGCACACGCGAAGCGAGTTTGCATTTAGCGGACAGCTTGCCACCAGTGGGGTCGCCAAAGAGATGCTGGAGTTTCTCTTTGCACATGTCCCATGATGTGATTGTTTCCTCATGTGTGAGAAACCATGTGCGGGCAGTGTCCTTGAGGTAAAACACAACGTTGGCAAGCATAATGGTTGGATCCCATCTGTTATGCTGGCTGATTCGCTCGTAGAGAAGAAGCCATTCTTCAACGTCCTGTTCACCGGATCCAGTGAAGTTTCCTGGGTCACGCGGTTTGGAGAGGCCCAAGGGAGGGGCTTGAGCAGTTTGACCGGCGTCTCTGGATGTGGTGTCACGAGACATTTGAGCTTGCGGGGGAGGGTCTTGTGGGGGTTCAGTGTCCGCAGGCGACGAGGTGTCCGTAGTGATATCCGACGGTCGGGAAGGTGCTCGATAGGGTGGGTGACACTCAGTAGCTGGTGTGTCTATGGAGATATCAGCTTCCGGAGGCGGAAGCTGGCGGCTCCGGAGGTCGAGCGTGGGGAGCGGAGAGGTAGGGGGATGGTGTCCACCTCCACCAAAATGTTACGTTGATAATGAAAATGATTTACTATACAGTGAAGAGAATTAGAAACACAGATATGGCGGTTAGTCCTTCAGAGCGTGCACCGCCGGCATCGTCCTCTTTTTTCCACCGTCGGCGTCGTCTTGCCGCATCTTCTTCTTCGTCACAATATATTCATTGAAGTGTTTAACTGCGACGCTAGTTTTTTAAAGGGCTGATAATTTTCCTTATCGTAGACAGATGCATCTAGTAGCTCGATGTGTGCTACAGAAAGTCGGCTACATCGGGAGAAGTCAATCGAGAGTTTCGAACTCTGCTTGCAACGTTTCTACTAGGAGGGGAGGTTGTGACCAGCAACTAAACTATTGCTGTGTCAAGCGAAAAGATTAACCATTATCCGAAAGGAATAAATAATGCACTAACCACCGCTCCGTATCACACAGGAAGGAATGACCAAGCCAAGTACATTTTTGTTTAAAATGGCAAGACAAAACAAGGACAAAACAAAGACGAGACAGACGACAGCACTGACTACCAATTGAAAGTTTATTTCCATCGCTCTCAGTGCATATACGTATGGGTATCTGGGCAACTGTGAAAAAAACAGGGTGCGAAAGAAAAAAGTGCAAAAACACATAGCAACAGAAAAAAATGCGCGAAGAGTAGACGAAGGAGGAATGAGAGGAATGTATACGACAAGCGCTGAGTTACAACTGTTTTTTTTTTTTTTTAATAAAAAGAAACATGAAGCCCTCAAACTACCAAAGCACAAAATACCACCAATTTTATCAATGTGATTACAATATTGGATTGTAACGGCACATGTAAGCAATCTCGCTGCCAAACAAGGCAATGGACGGCGAACTGAGACGCATACCCTCCTCGCATCGTGACATGACAAAAGCCTCCATAATCTCCCTCGTTCTTTGGTTACTGTGCCGCGTCGCAATGGCAGTGTGAGTAAAGAGTGGCGCACACCCGCATTTGGCACAGAGCACCGCCCAGTTGCCGGAGGGCGATCTTATGGCCAGATCATGCTCCCTTAATCTATCATTAATGCATCTGCCTGACTGCCCAACATATACGTTTCGACACGACAGCGAGATCTTATATACTACCCCAACTGCACAGTTCACAAATTGTTTCTTTTTTTAATGTTTCTTTGCACACCCAAGCCACCGTCTTCCCGATCCCGTTATCATTTTTTGAACAAACAAACCTCACGGTAGTGGCATAAACTAAATACGACGGCTTCTGGGAAACCATTTGAAGTGCATTGTTACAACCTCTCTTCTATATCTACCTAAAATATCTTAAATTCTTTTTTCCTCAACGAGTCTGTACCTTATTCTTTTTATAAGAATATGGTACAGATAAGGTACAGACTTGACTCTGCAGTCAAGAATGGCCTTGACTGCAGAGTTCCGAGTATCGTAGCGGTTTGCGGAGAGCGTTGCGGGACGGCGAAAACGATCTACGAAAACTCCCTATTGACTACCTGGGCGAAAAAAAAATGATGGCCATTACAGTTAAGTTGGACGTGGTCCGAATGTTACATTGCGATACTTCAACTACTCCCAGCATCTGGCATTGTTTATACGCCGTTCACCCCTAAAAAAAAATTGCGAGGGAAAAAAAAAAAAATTGAGGGCTTCTTTGGGACACGTATATATAAAACAATTTTTCCACAAAACGAAACTTTGTTTGGCGCAATATCTACCGGGTGAAACAAGGAGACGGTAGGCTGTTTAAATCGACCGGAAAATTCGGTTTCCTAACCTATCGCGCTACGACTTTGTGCAGCGTTGCCCACAGATGGTGCAATTTTTTTCGTAAAATTTGCAAAGAGCGAACTTACCTGAGGAAAAAGTAAAGAAAGAAAAAGGCTTAGCTCCTATGGAAACGCAGCGACGCCACCGGTCTGCAATCAACACGGCGCCGTTTTGCACGGTGGACAAGAGATGGCGCAACAAACGCCGCCAACGAACGAGCATACGGGCGCCGAGAGCCGGCCGAGGTATTCCTCAAAGGCTCTTTAGCAGACGAATTTTTCGACTCAAAAGCGGCGTGCGTTCCGCAGGCGGCGAAAACTCGGGAAGAGGCAATCGAAGCCTCTTCCTTTTAAATAAAGCAAACAAGGTACTGTGGCGAAGAAAGAGCCAAGGCTCTTTCTTCCCCACAGTACCTTGTTTGCTTTATTTAAAATCTCAACTACATCAATAAAACATTTACTTCGGGTTCTGCTTTCGTTCGATTTCTATGTTAGCAACAATATTTTTTTTTTGTTCACATTACTTCTGCGAGATTCCTAGGGATCCGCCAAGCAGCGTTCAAAAGCATATTTTTATTTTTTTTAGTTAACCTTATTTCTGTAGATGTGCAACATTTGCATTTTCAGGTGATTATCTTCGTATTAACGCGATCCAATTCGGTGAAGATTAAGATAAAATGTAATATTAAGAATATATAACCTACTAGTGGAACTAGTTTTGAATCTTGTCTGTACCTGTTGCCACACTGAAGACGAGGCCTAGGAAAATTGTCATGGTAGCGCCAAGAAAGCTGATCCAATACGATGAAAGCCGGTATAGGAGAAATGTTTCAGGTCTGAAAAAACAGCAGTATATAGAAAAACAAATAATTAAAAAATGAGCTTATCAGTAAGGTTCACGTTTTACACACGAAAGAGTTAACAAAGAGAACGGAATTCTTCTTCCTGCGAGTTGAAAGATGTCATGATCCGGGCACCGTCCTATTTGTTTAGTCTTTCGTGTGTAAAAAACAGAGGTGGACACGGACGGAACAGCGATAATCGCGGAACATCTTTCTTCTTGCTTCAATAATTGTATATCTGCCAAATGGTTTAGTGTAACGACTTGGCTTGCAAATAGCCCCCAGCTGTTGCGTGTCAAATTTGTGCCAGCTACCGTTGTAGTGGTAGGACTGCAAGGCCATAATCTAGAAACATAACACAGAAAAACATCGAAACGTTAGAATATTTTAGCTGATTCATTCGACATCGCTTGTTTTTAATTAACTATACTTATATTTTTGCATATTTTTAAACCAGCATTCTAAGGCTTGTTTTCTTGACGAGATATGTGGAGAGATCAAAGTATAGGTAGTCTAATTGATCTTAAATTTTTGAACCCCACACATTTTCTCTGCCGTCTTACAATAACTGTATGACAGTATATTTCCCTCAAATCCGGCATTCAGCCGGTTTGTTTCGGAGGCTCTAAGTAGAGCGGTAGCATTAATGTTGCCAACTCAAAAAGTAAAAAAAAAAAAAAAAAAAAAAAAAAAAAACGCTAAAGGAATTTTGGGAAACCGCTAAATTGAACGAGCAAGATAAGGATTAAAGCAGATTAAATGAAATGCCCTTTAATAGGACCACTCTCGTTCGACTCACAACAATTGCACGCGCAAGACGATATGTAGCACTGCTGGATCTTACTGTTGCCAGGTGTTACCATGTTAACCGTCTACCATTCCTGCCGACATACGTCTTTATAAATACAATATTTTGAGCAACATTTGGTGGCAGATCAAAGCATGTATAAACAAATTTTCTCGCTTTGCAAAAAAAATATATTCTCCAACCTAGGTATTTGACTCGTATGACAACGCATGGAACTTCAAGTAACCAGTCTCAAATTTTAGAACCGTATAGACCTCATTTATTTTAAATAGACCATTCTCACCAGTTAGTTCGACTACGCCACCGCTGCCGCAATGCATCGAGGGAACTTTCTAGTTTCTACACCTTCGACAACATCGCTTCATCTATGCGCGTGTAGAGCACGAGACGGTACAAGCCCTGGCATGCACGGCCGTCTGCCTCCTGTGAACTAAGCTTATGGCGGCACCACGAATGCGTTGAACGCTTAGTGAGGTCTATCTATTGTTGTGCATAGTTCACGGGTCCCATGTCATGCAGCAGAGACTTGAAAAAACGAATTCATGCATAGACTACGAAGTAAATCTAAAACACGTTTCAATGTTTGTCACCGTATTATCTAGATGGCAATCATGCACACTATTCTCAGTGACAACTATTTTGCTGTCAATCGGAAAACTAATGACCCCATGACTCTTAAATACTTAAAAAATTATGATATTCAAGATAGATAACTGTTAACTGGAAGGCATTCTATGCCGCCAAAGAGAACGCTAACATGACTTAAACACTTCTATAATACTGCCAACCGCAAAACGTCCGTTTTTCCAACTATGCAAATAAAAAGAAAACAATAAGTTTGCAGAGAAAACATTTAGATTTGCTGCACTGTGTAGCACACTTAAAGATTCGTGTTTTCCCTTGAAGTCAACCAGGTGATCGTACTCTTGGCATTTTTTACTCATAAATGCATACCAGTCAGCTGCGTTAAGTACACGTGTTTTTAATTATATGCATATAGCATTCTTCGGAAAGTTTAATTTTGCACCTCGTTACAAATCATTATTTGCAATATATGACCCTGACTCCGGCGTTGGCTTTTTTTTCTTACCTTTGACAAATCTTACGCACAAGCGTAGAAAATACATGACCGACGGCAACAATCCCGTGCCGGAGCCAGAGCTTCTTGAGATGTTATGTTGGAACATTGTGTAATACGGTAGTAATAAAAATAATTTTTGCCACGAATTCAACTAAATGATATTGCTTTTGTCGCTTGACGAATGAAAGCATATTATGCATACAGCCGATGGCAGTGAGTCTGATAGTAAATAGAAATATACTTGATACCATTGCGTTCACGTCGTTCCATGTTCTCTAGTAAGAAGGCGAAGACTAGACGTTTATTGATTTCTTAAGTCGATTGGTCGAACGCCAGCAAGGCTTGCTTTTCATGTCGTGTAACACCTAAACTGTGGTGCAGGAAAGAAAAAAAAACTTTTTAGTCGAATGAACAAAGAAGGGAACGTCTCCACGTCTCCCTTCTGTTTCTGTTCCTTCGACTAAAGTTTTTTTTTTCTCTTTTTTTTTTTGTGCACAACAGTGATGCGTGTTAAACGATATGATTAGCTACCACCAACTCGCCATCGCACTTACAGCATTTCCACTCATTGCTTCTTTCACTCTAGAAAAAGAAAATTAACCTAATTTATGCTGAATATTTTCAAGTGAAACACATATACAATCTAATTGAGCGAGCATTTGTTATGAACCTGGCGTATTCAAGGTATTTGTTTTAGATTTTATTGATCATTATACATGTAATATTTATTTAAATATTGGTCTTTAAGGCCTTTTTGGATAGGTTCAGACTAATTTGTGTCTATAATATGGCTATTATGTTGAATGCTCCCAATACAATATATTGCCTCGCGGGTGGCTGAATGTGCGACGCGCACAGCTCTCACGAGAACGAACGGTGTTGGAGCCCCGCTAGCTCATGTTTGTGGTATGCTGCGGCAGCTTATGTCAACCGCCGTGCTCCAGTACCGGTGAAGAACCACCTTTATTCCATCCCCTTCTTTATCAGACTACAAATACGGCAGTAGCACCGCCACAGCAGCTAACCATTCAAGAATAATAAAAGGAAATGCTATGTGCAACACTCGAAACAAGAACACTAATATAAAACAAAATTCCGCAATCTTTGTGGTGTGGAGTTCTGTCTGGCAGACCGTCTTGGTTCCATAGCCACTGAACTGATGGGACATCCCGGTGCCGGCGAGGTCGATGGAGAGGCGAGCAACGCAGTCTCAAACAATGATGCGGGTGGTGATTGTGGTTGCGTGACCATAAAAGGTGGATATGCTGTTGATAAATGGGTCACTGATGATATTGAGAAACATGGGATGTGGCCCAGGGCGGCTTGTGGAAGTGGCTTGGTGCTTGGTGGTCTGACGACGAGCCCCTTCCTGTTCCAGACTTCCCCGTCTTCTAGACGGTAGGCATTCTTCTCTAGGTATTTCACCACATTGAGGGGCGCAGAATAGTTGAGTCTACATTTTGGAATGTGTCCTGCTAGCTTGACTCGTGCTTTATCTGCAGGTCTCACCATGCTGACTCTGGCCCCCCGCCGAGCACACGTATACTTTTTGAACTTCTGCTGGTATTGAGCCACTTGTTGTCGCAGCTCTCCCAGACTCTTTGAAGGTTGATTGAAGAAATCCTTGGATGGACCCCCCACGATGTCCAGCCTCGTCGTTGGATGGCATCCATGCAGCGGGAACGCTCGCTTCTCGCCTGTTGCTGCGTGAGGAGTTCAATAGACTCCTAGGTACCTCACGACCGCCTCCTTTAGGGGACGCTGCTCCTGGACACTAACTTGCACGACATCTTTGAATACACGGTTGAAACGTTCGATCTGTTCATTACTCTGGCAATGGTACACCGAAGAGAAGGTGCGTCGCATTTCCCGTTGTGTCAGAAAAGCTACCAACTCAGTAAAAACAAGGTGAGGGCCATCCTCACTGACAAGTTTAGTAGGGTAGCCCTCCAGGCTGAACGCTGCCCGTAAAAACGAGATGATCTTCCTCGACGTCACCTAGAGCCGTCAAACACACTTCCGGCCACTTTCGGAAAATCACCCAGTGTTACAGCGCGCCGGCAGTCGCTTGGAGAATTGGAAATTGACCCAACAATGTCTACTCTCACTTTTTCACAGGGAACAGACGGAAATGCAGCTGGATATAGAGGATGTACCACGGGTTGTGCAGACTTGTCAACTACTAGACAAACACCACTGGACCTAACAGCACTTTCAATGTGCTTCTTCATTTCAGGCCACAAATACGTGTCACAAGCCCTCTGTTTTGTTCTTGTTATTCCAAGGTGAGCTTCGTGTGCTAGTTCCACAATCTTCACAGTAAGAACGTTAGAAACAACAACCCGATCACAGAGAAACCGCAAGTCTCCACTCATGGAAAGTTCTTCTTTTACTCGGTGAAAGGGTACCAGGTCAAGATGCAGCTTATTTCTTGGTGGCCAGGGGCCGGTTGCAAAGCAATCACTTCTTACAGACGGTTGTCCTGCCGAAACATTGCACAGACGACCTCGTCTTTCCGAATTTCCCCGGGCGCATCAAGAGGAATACGCGAAAGAGCATCTGCCACAAAGTTGTCTCCTCTCCTCTTGAAAACCATGGTGAAGCTGTATGCAGGAAAACGAGCATGTCATCTTGCAATCCTGAATGGTCGTTGGCCGGTCCCCTGCGGGCCCTACAGTATTAACTGTGACTGGCGGTCGGTGTGCAGCGGAAAAAGCCTACCCCGTGCGAAAACGCGCCAGTGCTCGCACGCCCACATACAGGCCAACGCCTCACGCTCTCCAACAGAGTACTTCTGTTCCTGTGGCGTAAGAGTTCAAGAAGAAATGGAGACGATAACAAGGTCTCCATTTTTTTTCTGCCGCAGAGAAGCTCCAAGGCCGTATGCTGGGACGTCAGTTGTAACGACCACGGGCAGCTTAGGGACAAATATTTGGAGAGGCTCATAGGAAAGTAACGACTTCAGTCTCTAAAAACTGTCCTCCCGAGCAGCCATGCAGCGGAGAGGTTCACCCTTGCCTAGTATCTCACGTCCTGTAAAAGCTTGGTCTGCTGGTCAAGTCGGTAATTGACATTCATATTAAAATAGCACAAAGAAGACAAGACTCAAAGACGAAAAAGCACAGAGGACAAGCGCTTGGCCTGTAAACTTCTCCGTCTTTTTGTCCCGTTTTTTTTTTTTTTTTGCTATTTTAGTATGAATTTTACGTAGTGATTCTGCCAGCTCTGCATACCGAGGGATGTATGTACTTGGCGTAGTAGCCCACGTAACATGGTGACGCCTGCAAGTGCTTGAGCCTTGACAATCGCGTCCAAATGGCTTTGCATGTGTAGCATTTCCCGCTCGCTGACAACGTGCCCCAAGAATTACAGTTCCCGAACATTAAAGCAACACTTGTCGTTCATCTTCAAGCCCGCTTCGCTGATGCGCCGGAGAACTTCATAAAGATTCTTGAAGTGCTCCTCTTCGGTAGTTCCACAAACAAGGATGTCATCCAGGTAGCAGTGTAGTTGTTGCCATCCCTTTAGGGTTGTAGTCATCCTTTTCTGGAACGCAGGAGGAGCCGAGGCCAAACTAAAAGAAACCATGTTGATCCTGAAAAGTTCATCGTGGGTAATGAACGCCGTCAGGTCTCGGCTTTCCGGGCACAAAAGGACCTCGTGGTACGCGCTCGATAGATCCAGGCGCGAGAAGAACTTCGCTCCGACCAGTGCTTGTAGCAGTTCCTCAGTGTGAGGCAACGGAAAGCTGTCAATTACGACGGCCTTGTTTACTTCTCTTTAATCGACACATAGTCGAACTTTCCCGCTCTTTTGGCTATGCGTGACCTAATCTGACGCATCAATGCTTTCGATGACACCTGCCTGTAGAAGTCGCGGGAGCTCTTCAGAGACTTCGTCCCTGACTGAAAAAAAGTGAAAGCCGTTTACAACTCCCTGTAACGCCGAATTGGAGCGCGGCTCTTGAGGAGGAGGGAAGGGTACTGAGGCGAGGGTAGACGCCTCCTCCTCCTTCTCCTGCTCCTCCTCCTCCCCTCATTCTTTAATATGCTCCGGGGGGGTCACCTGACCTTGGGGGGAGGGGGCCACGTGACCTCGGGGGGGGGAGGGGGGTCGCGTGACCTCGGGGAGGGGGGCCACCTGACCGGGATGGCCACGAGATCTCGGGGGGTCACGTGACCTCGGGGGTCACGAGACCTCAGGGGGTTACGAGACCTTGGGGGTCACGTGACCTTGGGAGGGATCACGTGACCTTGGGAGGTCACGTGACAGGGGGTCACGTGACCTAGGGGGTCACAAGACCTTGATGTGACCTTGGTTACGCCGACGGCGACGGCGACGCCGACGCCGCTGAAGCCGGAAACGGGCGCCTAAGAGCTGCGCTCTAAAAGAAGTCTTCGCAGCTTGGCAGAAACAGGCTGGACTTTTTGACGCGTCTTCACCTTGTGAGCGAACTCCTTCGCGGTACCGAGGGTTCCGTCAAAAAGGTGCGCGAAGTCATTTACCAAGTTTCGAGCGAGTCCGGAAGGTACGCACGTAGCGTTGAAACATTTCAACGCGCTACCGCTGATCTCAAGGAACAAGGAAGTGATGGCGGCGATGCCGAATATGTACGTACTGTTGGGGACAACGTAGAAGCGTACAGAAGCCTTGCGCTCCTAACCGACAGCAGCATTCAAGTAGCCTGGTACGGCGATCTTCTGTTGCGAAAAATCTAACAAACTCATGGACGTACCTCGCAGCTGGTAAGCAGAACTGAAGTTTCTCTTCTACGTATCTTCCGACATGATGGAAACTGCTGACCCTCTGTCAACCAAGAATGATACGGCTGTTCCTTCGACTTGAACCGGAATGTAGAAACCGCTCTTCGGTTTATCGTGCAAGTGAAGAATACTAAGAACGTCCTCATCAGAGCCATTCAAGCTCGCAACTTCTCTTGTAGTAACACCTTTGCTAGTGTGGCTGGCGGTACTCTTGCAGACAGCAGGAAAATGTCCGACTTTCCCACATCCAGAACACTATTTGTCTCTTGCTTTGCATTTACCGAAATTTGCGATATGTCTCGACGGCCCGCGGGGGTAACATTCCTTTAAAGTGGAGGATGAAGGCTGACCTCCCCTCAACAACAGAGAAAAATATAGCTGGTGAGGAAACACATACCTGGTCTTCTTTTGTACTGTATACATACTAAACGAGCTGATGAGGCTGTTTTATTGCGAAAGCATTAACTGTCCCATGAAGCGAAACCGGCGGTTTTTCTGTAGCAGCAAAATACGGCAACTAAATTCTGTCTCTGGCAGCGAAAAACGGCAGCTAAATTGCCATTGGCTCCTCGAAACGCCAACTAAAGTCCCATTGGATGTGACGCGTCTTAGTTCCAAGGAACGCCACCCTACAAAGAAGCCCTCTCCTGGCGCTCTGGACCGTGCTCCGGCAAAAGGAAGAGGGTGGGGCGCGCGCAGCCGCCGCTGTCTCTCCCCTCTCGGGTCACGTGTCAGGTGTGGCCGGAAAAAAAGTGAAAGCCGCTTACAGCTCCATGTAACGCCGAATTAGAGCGCAGCTCTTGAGGAGGAGGAGGGAATGGTACTGGGGAGGGGGGAAGTTCAACTAACCAGGGGGGGTCACGGTCACGTGACCTTGGAGGTCACGTAACCCCCCAATGCCGAAGATGTCATCACTGACGTCACTGATGACGTCATCAGTGACGATGACGATGCGGATACCGATGACGTCATTAGTGACGTCACTGATGACTTCACCAGTGATGATGACGATGACGATGCGAATGTCGGTGACGTCATCAGTGACGTCACTAATGACGTCATCAGTGACGTCACTAATGACGTCATCAGTGATGATGACGATGACCATGCGGATGCCGCTGACGACATCAGTGACGTCACTGATAACGTCATCAGTGATGATGACGATGACGATGCAGATGTCGGTAACGTCATCAGTGATGATGACGATGACGATGCGGATGCCAGTGACGTCATCAGTGACGTCACTAATGACGTCATCAGTGATGATGACGATGAGGATGTGGATGCCGGTGACGTCATCAGTGACGATGACGGCATCGGGGGTCACGCGACATCGGCGGGGGTCACGTGACCTCGGGGGTCACGTGACCCCCGCTGATGTCATCGTCACTGGTGACGTCACCGGCATCCACATCGTCATCGTCATCATCACTGATGACGTAACCGGCATCCACATCGTCATCGTCATCATCACTGATGACGTCACCGGCATCCACATCGTCATCGTCATCATCACTGATGATGACGATGACGATGCGTGACCCCCCTGAGGTCACGTGACCTTAGGGGGTCACGTGACCTCGGGGGTCACGTGACCTCGGGGGTAACGTGACCCTCCTCGAGGTCACGTGACCTCAGGGGAGTCACGTGACTTCGGGGGGTCACGTGACCTCGGGGGAAGTCACGTGCCCCCCACGAGGTCACGTGACCACGGTGGGGGGCTCGCGCGGTGCATTATGGGACATATCCCATAATGCACCGCGCGGTTACGCCGACGCCGACGGCGACGGCGACGCCGCTCAAGCCGGAAACGGGCCCCTAAGAGCTGCGCTTTAAAGGGGGAAGGGGTGAAGGGGAGCGGAAAATTCCCGCTCCCTCTACCCGTGCCCTACGGTATCGCGTGTTCTACGCTCTGCTGGCAGCCATGTCGCTCCACCCGGCATTCCTCTTTGGAGGACAGCGGTGCCCACTGCTTGTAGGAATGCGCTGCGTGTAGCAATACTTTCACATTCGTACCCGTAAACAGTCTTAAGTGTCCTCTTGTATTTTCTTGTTAAATTATACTAAAAAATATTTCAAAATAGTAGTGAAGCTTACGTTGGAGGAAAGGAATCGTTTGTGTTGATTATACTGGTGGTATTAGGGGGGCAGCGATCAATTGTTACAGCCATCCTGGGTGGTTCAATTCCCGAGAGAGACTTTCCAATACTGTGCCACATCTGTAGGACAGTACAAATTAGGGCAGCGGTCGCGGTGCCCTGTAAGAAAGCAAAAGTAAGTATTTACGTTGGGGAAGGGTGAACACAAAAAAAAATGTATATGTCTTAAGACGTAAAAAAATGCAGTGCTTTGTTGCAGTATACAGTATGGTAAGAAACTGCAGTAGAGAAGAAGATGAAAAGCGGCAGTGACATCCGAGCGCCTAGCTCTGATTCGAAGGATTAGTGGGAGGCGCAAAGGCTAGGTGCCTTTGTCTTTTCTCACTGCCTCCTCCCAATCAGAGCAAACAAGAGCCTCGCCTTTCCCTCGCGTAGGGCCGAGCCTACGTGCGTCAAATGCCGGTATTCGGCGTTGGGCGTTCGAACGCCATACTCTGGGCATGCATACATTACCTGTTTCTTTTTTTTTTCAATATATTGCTCGGGCGTTTGACGGATTGAGAGGCGAGACTTCTACTCAATTTGGGGGAGGGGGGCGGGTTAATTCGATCTTGAAGCCGTGCTCTTTTGACCGCTGTCGCTGCCACAGCACACGCGACCTGCCGTCTTTCACTTCCTCGAAGCAATATTATGATCCAATAAACTCAGCATAGTTTAAATACCATATTTGAGATGTTTTTACTGTACGAAAAAATAAAATGGCTTTTAAAACGGCAATGTTTCATTCTCCGTGCGGATTGCACTTTAAAGATAAAGCGTGTCTGAACTAAGGTAAATATACGGCATTTCCCAAATATATTTACAGGCCAAATTGGCCCGCAAAAGTAAGAAACATAGCTTGTTCTTTCTTTCAGATACGTCTTTTAAAGGTTCAATTTACTGGTGCAATAAGATGCTAAAATTTCAATTGTATACTCCCAATAGAACTAAGATGATAAACGGCCATATGCAAATTGTTCGAGCGTCAGGCAACACTCTGTGTGCTGCCATCTTTGTTACGTCGAGATTCCTCTGCTGTTTCTCAATTTCGTAGCGTTGTCAGTAACAGTCGAGGCCTACTGCTGAGGATCATCGATCATCACCCACACGTTTGAACTAAGGGTTAATATTGTTTTACGCTCTTCTTGCGCAAGTACGTGGTCGTCGCCCGCCTGTCTCTCACCGCAAACCAAATGGCTGACGTACACTTCAGCTAGAAATTTGGCTTTGAGTGCCGGCAAAGGTACGGGAGTGGTCGCCTGGTTTTCCGAAGCGCTTTCTTTGAGCAAGCGCTTGTGGGAGCAAAAGATTTTTCATGACTACGCTATAGCGCCCTGGCCTTTGCCAGCGCCGAAGCCAGCTGGTGAGACGAGCATGTTCTTCGGCGCGGTACGTTTCGCATACGACCGTCTTTCTAAAATCGTTTTTTTTTTTTTCCTTGTTTCTGTTTTCAATGTTGGAGCGGAGGCTGTCGGAGATGGCGCCACCAATACAGGCACGCGCAGGTAGCGCAGGACTACGGCTCAGGCATTGGATGCGCTCGCTGTTACTAATGCCTGCGAAAATACGCCTCTCGTGTTTCTTGAAAAAACCAAACGGCGAAAGACGGTGCACGAAGCAAGAAATAATTGTTAATATAAGCAAGTGATTTGTAAAGCATCATATAGCGTCTTTATTTCTCACTATCTATTGCGTGACTCTCGCCGTGCGGAATACGCCAGCCGAGAATTGAATCGTCAACTTGCGTTTTCGCGGGTATTGGAGACGAACTGGGGGAACGCGATTGAAGGAGAGTTCTGCGCGAAGTCTCTCACTCTGTTCCGTGCTCTGTTACCATGGGAACAGAGCAGGCAAGCCGCGCAGTGCACTGCGCGGCTTGCCTTCATTGGTGGCGTCATCTCTGAATAAGCTGAGCAAACATGGCCGTAGTTAGCTCTCCTTCCAACAGCTGCCGCCCCACCATCAGAAAATTCAGTTTTGCATAATTTTATTTCAGTTAGGCGTAGATAAGTTACATTTTATTATGATAGCTGGAGCGGTGAAAGATGTCCGGTACAAATTACGCCTCGATGCGCCAAGTTGTTTACATTTACGCGTCATTTCGGCGTTCAATCTTTGTTCTTCGGGGGGGGGGGGGGGGGGGGGCACATTGTAGCAGTGTTGCGGAGTGGGCACCCCCATTCCATTCCAATTCCATTCCGGGGAATTAGAGTTTTCGATAATTCCATTCCTTTCAACTCCCAGGAATGGAGACACTGGGCCCATTCCCACTCCTGGAATGGCTGAATCGTTCCATTTCATTCCTCTAATTCCTAAACGTAAAAAGTGACACTTCACAGTTGCATTACGTTGCAGGGTTGGGCAGATATATTCAAAAATGTATTTGGAAATACAAATACTGGGATAGATGAAAATAGTTGCTAAGATACTGATACTCAAGTCTCAAATATATCTGTAAAATGTATCGCGATACGTATCGGAAATGCATCTTAAAAAGAGGCAAAAAGTCTTTGGAAATACAAATACAAGAATACATTTTAGGGGGGGGGGCAGAAATATAAATACTGATAACGCAATACATTTTTCAAATTTCTTTGAGACGCCAAGTGAGATGAAGCTTAAAGTTTGAAGTGGAAGTTGTTTTTTTTTTTTTGGTCCCGAAATTACTTTCCCGCGGGCTTGGCACTTGGTCTTGAAGGTAGTGGTTCCAGACGAAGAGTCCTCAAGTCAATGGGTTTAAAAAACGTTCCATCAAGGATTGACCGCGGTCCCTTCCCTGGCATCCTGTCTGGCTGACCAGTGATGCGAAAAGACTTTGACCCCAAAATAAATTCCATCAAAACATCAAAACTTCCCTGTCCAATAACGGTGCTCCTGTCAGCACTGATCACATGACGTCATGGTGGGATGAACTAGTATTCTTGAATCTGTAGGTGTTGCCTTGAACATGAAACTTTATCCACGCTGCTGTATGAAAGGACAATACATACTTTTGTTGTAGGCGACCTCGTTGAAGACCATGCAGGCAGTTGCATTTGGAATTTTCGAGAAAAGTCGACCACCTGAAGCATCCTGAAGCACATGTCTTATCTTCTGTTACGGTTGTAAAATCGATACGGTGGCATCCTTGTTGTCACGGTCCTTCCTGCCGACTCTCCACCTCCAACGCATGAATGGCAGTCTTCAAGTTTCGCCTAGCATCATTCAAACAGAGACCTCGTGGATTGCGACCTGAGATGACCGGCACAGGTGCGAGCTCTCCAAGAAACAGCGCGCTCAAGACGAGTCGCAGGTGTACGAAGTCTGGGTGCGCAGAGCGAGGCCATGTCTGGCTTCCTTCCCGGGTATCGGATCACCAGAGCAGCGGGTCACGTTCACGTCGGCTGATGACGTACCCTTGAGCCATACAATATTACAGGCGCAGACGCATTCGGATGTGTTGAACTTCACTGGTGAAAGGCGCCACCGCCGCCCCCCCCCCCCCTCCCCCCCCCCTCTGTTCTTTGTTTTGTCGCTTTTTTTGTGTATTCCATTTTTTTGCATATAAGTCTGTTAGGGCCTTACGCGGGTTTGCAGCTTCCAGCTCATTTTATTTCTGAAGAACCGACTCCCTGACTGGCTCGGTAGAGCTAAACGTAAAAAGAAGAGAGAAAAAAAATATATATATATGTAAATATATATATATAAAGAACTTGGCCTGATCCATTCCCATTCCATTCCGGGCAAAAGGCATCTAATTCCATTCCAATTCCATTCCTCTGCGCGTTGCCGCCATTCCATTCCCATTCCATTCCGGGGTCGCGAAAATGTGGAATGATTCCGGAATCATTCCAACTCCGGAGTGGCAACTCCGCAACACTGCATTGTAGATGAGCTCTAATCTCGAGAAAAATAAGTTTGCAAAATAATTTAAACATTCGATCTATCTTCGGTTCAATACTATTCATTGGCTACATGTTCTAACCCGACGATTATATCATGATTGTTAGCGTATTCAACGAGATTTGTATATAGGATTCCGTGTTTTCGTTCTTTATTTTTGCCTTACAGTCGGGAGTTTATTGAAGGTTATTTTTATTTAATCGCTAATTTTATTAAATTAAAATTTTAATTACTCAGCGTTTCTTTTTAAAGATAAACAAATAAATATTTATACCTGGGTGTAAACATACGCTAGAGAAAAAATAAACACGCTTGAATTAAATAACATTTTTTCAGCTGGATTCGGCCTTGGTGCCGTTCCCATTGGCATACCAATTTGTCCACGACAAAAGTTGCACACAGGTGTCGCTTCGATTAGTGCCATTACCTTAATCTCAATAAACTCCTTGAGCTAGTCGCTGGAAAGCTCGTATTTCTCCCATTCTATTCCGTCAACCTATCCCGCGGCCGCGCGAGGTGGAGTGCGAAATGATATAATAGAGATGTTTTGACTGGCCTTCCTAAACATTTTATGCAATCACTATGGTCCATAACATTCACTGTTACAAAAACTCAACCTCTCCTTCCTCTTAAAACACAAACATTATGGCCCAAACTGGAAACCAAAGCAATCGCTTTTGTTGTGACCCGAAAGTACAAATTACCTGTTTCCGAATGAATCTTGACGAGATAAGTTGTAAGACCCCCTTTGACACTGGTCCGAGATTCAAGAGATAACTGTGACCCTCTGCGCTGATCAAACTTATTTGTGGAATATTGTCTTTTTGATTTTTTTCTTCTTCTTCTTTTTTTTTTTGAAGGGGGGCCGTGTGGGGCGGGGCGAGGAGAGAGGGGCACTGGCACATCAAAATTCCGAAATATTCCGATGAGTACAAATTGAAAGAAATTTTACCTGCGGTTGTTTTTAGGGGTTTTTCGTAGTTATACAAAAACGCGGAACTATTTATATTGCCGTTGATTTCAAGCTGGTAATTCTTGACTTAAAGAATAAAAATCTGATGTACATTTTTTTCCTCAGTTTCGTGATTAGTACGACTAAGCTAAGACCTCAAAACAGAACGCACCAAAAATTTAAACAATTGGCTACTTAAGAGATGATTGCTACACTACGCTAAAGGATCCAGTTCTTATTTGGAGCATCAACGATGCGATCTACGAATTTAAATGCCACTCTCAAA